CTTTCATTTACAAGATTAGCATGCTACATTTATTAAATCAACCCTAAAGGTCCGTCGCTCCACATAGCAGTATAAAAAATAATTTCACCCTAAAATCCATACCTTTGTTGGAAAATTATGCTTTCAAAAGGCTATAGATGGTGCCAAAATCTTAAAAATCTTCTGTCCTCCATTTTTCTACTTAGCGTTTAACTAAAATCAGGGTAAAATAGGTGCAGATACTAGAAGGGGAGCGGCCAGTAATGCTCAGATCCATGTCACATTTGCTCTGAGTGAGCACCCCAAACCGTTATTAATTGAGGAAACACTAGTCATGACCTATCAAACCTGCATGGCCATGCCAATCATATTAACAAGCAACGTCTTTTCACCTTTCGGCTAAGTAGTAATTCCTGTTTACTAAGATAAAATATGCGCAATTCTTTACCTTCACGGGACAATAGTTGTTTTCGGTCTTCGTTTTACGGCTCTTTCTTGTTGACAATGAATACGACACCCATTTATGGTGCTAATGGGGACCAGCAAATTCTTGCGCTTGAAATAAAAATCATATCAAACCAGTTCTTCATCATATAAAGTTAGTGAGATTGCACTCGAGAGCCTCGGCAATTGAATGGAGAATGTGCTACCACCTTGTAATAGCGGGCAAGGGCAAACAACTCCGATACCGAAAGGACTTCAAAGCCAGATTAATCCTGATTTTAATTAAATGGCAACATCATGCATTCATTTTGATCCTTTGGGCGTGACAAGAGCCTTAAGTAAATTCTCTTTTTCTAGTAAATGCATTCTCCTACCCCACAACACGACTGACTTTGGAAATTTTTTGCATGCCAAGAATGATGCATAGGCCCAGTCCTGAATTCTGCTTTGAATAAATAGGTGTGTGGACACGCTAGCATGGATTTTTAGCCCTAGGGACGTATGGAGCACAAATAATTTCTTTGACGAAGGTAAGGACGGCCCGCTTAGTTCACAGTAAGGCGTCTAGAAATGCCTACGTAGCGGGTGTCCAAGCGGCTCAACATAGAAGTAAGGAGATGACTTTCGACACATCATAAAACGATGACGAAGTCGCTGTCAGCACAGTCGTCAGTTCCGCCTCTACATGAATGCAGAAAGGTTATAGTGTTTCTTGTTTTCTTAAGCCATGTCCATGCTTTTGTCATCCCTAAATTTTTCGTGTGACGCCCTTTAATTGCCGCCTTTTTCGCTCTCAAATCGGTTCTTAAGACAGTTTTAAAATGTTTTTTTTATTTTTATAAACATGTCTAGTCGTAAATTAATCTTGTTTCGTTTAATGTATAAATGGAATGGCTACTACAGAGGTTTGGATTTACCGTATTTTTGATGACGACTGTTACAGTGCCACTGATAAAAAAGAATTTCCCCTGTACGCAAGTACACATTCAAGGCTTTGCGCTGTGAATCACATTATTTAACTATTCATAATAAATCAACAGTGCAGTGATTGTCGCATTTCGAATTGTCACCGCCCCACTCGATGAGGTTATAGCATTTTGACCTCCTTCCGGTCAAATGGTCAACCAGCTTGAGGCACTGTTGACAGTTGGTTGCTGAGCATTTAGGTCAGTCGTTCAAATACCTTCCCCACTTTATTAAACGCTCTTCGAAACACCCGAATTGCTGGAGTATGGTGAACAGTGTAGGAGGATGCTGATGAACATCACCAAAAGGTGCCTCTCAGAAGAGGAAGAAGAGAACCGCGGAGCAGAACGTCTACTTATGTTACCAACATCCTCTACAAAGTATCAAAACATTTAGTGTATTTTTTATGACCATAATATAACCTTGTTTCAAGAATCATGTGGACAAATATGGCACGAAAAAGATGCACAATTCGATCAAATACTCATCTAGAGCACCGATGAAATTCGAGACTAGGAAATGAGGCAAAATGAGGTAACACTGCTGACTTTGCTCCAGGGAAATCCACGAAATGCTTAAAATGTTATCCGCCTTTTTTGATTAACTTTTGGATTATTTTGCCCAATTCCAACAAGCTCCGGTTTCCTTTATCTTCCATGCTGCGAGTTTATGCAAAAAATACTAGCTAAGCATCAAACGATAGCCTTTGGGACCATCTTGCAAGTCATTTTAATCCCAAAGAATTCTTAAGCCTTATGTAGCGACACTAAGGAGCGATTCGTATCAACGGGTGCTAATCATGAGAGAAAGCATGGACAATTTAAAACCACGAAGCGAAACTCACGTGGAGGAGAGATCTCCATGAAACGGCACTAAGCAGCCAGCTAAATAAATGAAAGCAGCGAACTACATAACTCGTGCGTCTTGGAAGACGAAGCTCTCAGCTCTCACTTTTGTATCTGAACACAAAGGAGCTTGAATTGCCAGGTTCATAATTGTAAGGTTTGCCAAACAAGACCTGTCTCCTCTTAAATCGGTGTTTATAGACTGTTGGTGAGTCCACGATAGTGTTCATTGGTCCTCATCCTTTATGGCCTGCTCCCTTACTGAACAGACGCTTGAAGTGATGCTCGTCAATCCTCTTCTCTGCTTAACTGCTCCCAACTGCATCATTTGCTCAAACTAAGTTTGATGCCATTTCTTCATAGTAATCTTGAAATTCGCTTCTTTGTGGTACATTTTAGGTCTATTCAAACCGCATCAGGCTGCACAACCGGGTTGGCGGTGCAGTTAGCGGTTTCTGCTGATTTATGCCGGGGTCAGTAAGTTTGTTCAGTTTTTTGTGCCAATCTCTGCAGTGTAGTCTCATTTCACCTCAGTATACACGACATTTTGAAGCACCTGTCGATTACCAGAACCACATAAATGCCCTGAATAATGTGAAAATCATGCGATAATTCTGCGACAATCTTACTGGTTTGTACTTTAGTAAATGTTCAAATTCTTTTTTAATTAAAATGAAAGAATTGTGACTTCTAGCACAGCTATCCGAATTGCGCTTTCAAAAGGCACAAAGTGAGGCACCGTATTAGGGTTCTACTTTCCATTCGATAAAGTGTTTCAAGTGCCAAATGCCATCCCGATGCATATCTCCTGCTGCCCCAAACATGTGCAGTTGATTTGCGTAGTGATCCACCAACATACCACCGCTGTTGGCAGTAGCTAGCGCAGCAGGGACCATTTCGCCGAACCAGCTGACCAAATTGGGTGCAGGAGGGCGTCTTTGGAAAGGTTTTCTGGAAGCAATCATTTTAAAAATTGATGATAGCATAGAATTATGCAGGTGTGGTTTTAGAGGCGAATACACATCCGTTACCTACATTTATAGCATAAAAAGTCGTGGAAATCGCTTTCAACCGCATTACTCCTAACGTTAATAGTAAAAAATGTGTCTGCAATACGATTATGCTGGTCACACTGTGCTGATGATGAGCAATCCGCACTTCCAAAGAAAGAACAACTTCCGTTCTCGACAAATTGTTGCTGGTTGTCATTCACTTTGAGATACCTCACCACCAATTTGAGGGTTTTATTTGCCCGCCAAACGAGGCTGCTCTACGGCCCCAGAAAACAGATCATAATTTGGCTTTAAGCTTGAAACCTTTCAAGTGCCCCTTTATGTCATGGACGTTAAAAGCACTCTCAAGATTTTTAATTTCCATTGCTGTACGATTCGAATTTTGTGTGTAGAGGTATACGATAGGTTTGTCGTTTCCTCAACTGTTCTCTCAACTCTCTAAGTTGTCTTGTATTAAGGAAGAAGTAATCAAACACAAATTTTCATTCCGCTCGTCTATCGCTGCATAAAAGCCAGAATTGTTCACTTTTATTTAGTTTCGTGGATGTTAGGGCCGCAGTATTAACCCGCTAACCAGTTGATCAAGACAATTTTTTAAACAAATAAATTTACTTGCAAAACGGTCCTTTTTGATTGTATCTTTGACTTTGGTGTCCCTATAACTTTTAGAGCATCGCAACAGATTTCCCATAAAATTTGTTAAAAGCCAGATAGTTATTAATGCAGTAAAACATTAAAGTGGTTCACATATTTCCCGCCAAAACCTTTAACAGGAGGCTAAAACTCGTATGCTGGATTGGCAAAGCGAACTCCTAACGAATATGAGAACTTAACGGTTAAGTGACTGCTACTTTCCCAAAAATGAAACAGAGCATCTCAAAGTTTGCATAATCTTGCGGCATTCTCAGTGGTCTACAAGGTCATTGCAAAATTTGTCTGCAGGAACTCGTGCTATGCAGTGCATTTAAGAAAATAACTAGGTCCTGGCAATAGCATTATGACTCCCAACAATGTGTGCACACATCTGCGTTTCCGCCATCTTCGAGATTAACAACCGCTGCACACAATTTTGGCACTTTTAATGTCCTTTATCTGTTCGTAATTTGCGCTGCCTCTGCTACAAGGCACACCAAAAGGCATTTCAAACGACATGCAATTGACCTTGCAGACCACTGTCTTAGAACGAAATCGAGCGATTACAAATATTGTCAGGAAATGTCAGAGCTAAGGCTTGCACTAAAATCTCCTAAAAAAACTCAAGGCAACCAACTGAAATGACCTTATACTGCTTATTTTAAGCATGAATAAAAACAAAGAGTAAATTATAAGTGGTGTCTGATGCAAGTAAAGATGGTAAAAGTGCAAGGAGCACGAACATCACGCGGAAGAAATACAGAAAATAAGTATAATATATAAGGCGACACGATTTAGCACACAAGTCACAACCACTCAACGCAAACAAGCAGCTACAGGAATGGAATCAGTGAAGTGTCCCTACCCGTATTTGTTGAAGCCCGTGCCTGCAATTAAGACAATCTTCCCTCCATGTGCCATGCCGTTTTGTGGGCCATCACCAATCCCATGGCCAAAACCCTCGACTGAGATAATGTTCAAATCACAATTCATGTGGAATCCGTACTTGGGCTCTTTTTTTAAGCCGAACCCCATGAACTCGTGTGTGCAAACCTTACAGTGCACAAAGAACTATCCTTTTGTACCTTTGTTTACACCTAAATTCACCACAGTGTTCAAGATGATTCCGCAGCCTGTAAAGCCCTGCCTACCCCCGCCTATGTGGAATCCACCACCATGCAAGTTTTCATTCTGTCCTCAGCCTGTGGAACAGTTATTATGGTCTCCTATGGTGAAGTCTAAACCCCCGTACAAGGTGGTATTTACATCGCAACCTGCAACAAAATGTCAGTGCTTAAATATGCTGAAGTCAAGTTTTCCAACTGAGGTTTTACTCACTGCACAACCTGTAAAGAGTTGTCCTTGTTCACCTGCGTTCAAGGCACCGCTAGATACTCAAGTCTTATTCACCTCACAGCCAGTAAAGGAGAGTTCATGCTCGTCTAAGTTGGAGTCGGAACCCACGAGCGAGGCCATCTTTACATCCCAATCTGAAAAGGTCTGCCCAAATTCTGGCGAGTTGAAGGAGGAGTCCATCAGCGAAGCTGTTTCGGAACCAAGTCTTTCAAAAGAGTCTCAACATTCTACTGAATCTGAAGATCTTGACGAAATTCTTGCTGCTCTCTTTAAGTTATATTTTCTTTTCTTGAAGACGAAGTAGATGCTCTTTGTGTTAGTCATATTTAACGATTAAAGAATGCATAAACCATACTTTTGCAAGAATTTGTATACAGGGGTAGTAATTATTAAAACCATCATAAAACAGTGATTAAAATTGCGAAGTGGGAATTTTCAAGTAAAAAAGGCTGATGAGTATTCGATAAACAGGAACTATCGATATCGTGCGAGCACTTCAATAAAAGTGGTGTCGAGGCATCGCATAGGGTAGAATCAGCCAAAGTAAATGGAAAATCGTCTATAAATCGAGGCGATGATGCGAGTAGGTTCGCATTTTGTGAACTGGACCCCACACTTGCACTTATGCTTACCTTCCCTTTCGTTCTGCTTCCTTTGAAATGTTAATAAATAAGCAATTAGGGAAGTGGTTTGGCGCCGTCACCATGCATCATTTGAAAAATATCGACATCGGCAGTCATTTATTAGGACTTAAACAGATCTTTCAGATGATTAAACAATACTGGCAATGAAACCATTGGAGGGGACATTCACACTTTTAGAAAATTTAATGCATAACCTCCAAAAAAAGCAGTCTAACTGCGGTCTGTCAAGTTTCATAACGCTCTGATGGCGGAATTAGAGCAATGATCGCGGAGAGCTTCAACAGCGGTGCGTAAAACAAAGGAACTGCATACATAGCAGCACAATATGCAATCTGCTTTTATACTGCGACAAGTGGTATCCACGGTGCCAACCTTCCCCACTGTTTGTAAACCGTAAAATACGGTAAACGCACTGCTTCCACATATCCACCATAAAACTCAAAGTAATACATTTAAATCACTCGTTGAAAAACACAAACAGTAATGAAAGGCATAAACTTATATCATTTATCACTATTTTATGTCTAAATTAAATTCGAAATGTCATAAACTCTAAGATTAAGTAAAAACGCGTTCGTCCCACAGCACTGACCTATTTACAAATTGAAATTGCATTCTTACACAAATGGGAATGTAACAATACCCAGGGCCAAGCAAAAGCAAGGCAAAAAAATGGACGATATTATCATACAAAGACAGAAGTTGGCTAGAGAAAAGGTCTCAGCCCTCTTCAATTTCACCACCGTGCCCACTTTCCTCCACCATTTGCCCACTACCACTCACTACTACTGCTGCCGCTGCCGCCATAGGACAGGAGAAGACACGAAAAGCACACTGAGTGGATGTGAATGTGTGTATTTA